GTGTGTAAAGAAGGGATTAGAGAATACTTTAATGATAAAACAAAAATATCCTCCATAAGACTGTCAACTCTGAAAACACCTTAAATTGTGTAAGTCATTTATTCTTCATCAGAATAATAAAAAGCTTCTAAGAAATTTAAGATGCACACTCATACTTTTGTCTCTTTTAAATTTGTGATTTTGAGAGTAAAGTGAACTGAGAAGGACCTTGACTAGTCATAATGAAATCCAAACTACTTCTATTGCAATCCAGTTTTTCATTTCATTTGGGAAAGGCATACAGGTAAGTTTGTTCCACTCTTCTCTTCTGAATAGAAGTATGACTCCAGTTATTAGATCTTCATTTATTTGATCAGTCACTTAACAAATAATGAACATCTATAATGTGCATAGCTAGGTGCTGTGGAGGATAGAATGATGAAGAAAATACATCTTGAGGGGGTTTAAACATAATAATAGTAACATCAAGCAGAATGTGATCATTGGCTCAAGAAATGGTCAATAAAACCACGGCACTGTTATTGCTGTGTTTTCTCTGCTACTCTTTGTAATTATGCTTAGAAACTTCCAGAAAAAAACATGAACTCATACTTTTAAGTCTTAGTGATCTATAGGGAAACGTAAATAAGGAAGGAGAAACTGTAAATAAAACAACATGCTTGCACATTCTCTGTCAGAAGAATTTAGAGGGATGAAATTCAGTCAGTTCTATTGCCATCTATTTGAGCTGTAAGTTTTCTTTGGTAGCTTGTTAACTATATTCATATTACTAAGGTAGAAAATGCCTGCTTTTAAAAAAGAAATTAAAAATCATGTGGTGAGATAATGACAACGTTTACACACACAAATGAGTTTGACTTTAGTTCAAACAATTATTTTTAAATCTATATGACAACAATTTAAAATATTTAAACATATTTTTAATATTAAAGTCTTTTGAAGTGATTTAGAGTTATGTAAAATGCAAACAAACAAAAAGCAAACATTTTTCTTGCTTGCTTTAGCTCCAAAATGGAAAAATCTATCCCCCTAATGTTTAGGGGATAGGGTGGGTTATATTGGCACAAGGGTTTCCTATTTCATTATTAGTTCAAAACAAGTCCAACCAGTAATCAATTTCTTTATGTTACAAGCATATATCTACATTTGAATGCTGAACAAATTCATATATTTTCTTTCTTGAGTTACTACGTTTTATGTATAATATAATGCCATGTTTACACAAACCAGTGAAAATTTGTTTGCTATATATACATTTTTTTGGTGGTTTACTGTTAACTCTATGGAGAGCCCTATAATTTTTAATCCTCAATTTTTATTTTAATTCAAATAATTGAGGAAGCCCCAGATTGGACGCCTGGGTGGCTCAGCGGTTAAGTGTCTGCCTTTGGCCCACGGCCTGATCCTGGAGACCCGGGATCAAGTCCCATATCGGGCTCTCTGCATGGAACCTGCTTCTCCCTCTGCCTGTGTCTCTGCCTCTCTATCTCTCTGTCTCTCATGAATAAATAAATAAAATCTTTTAAAAAAAAAAGAAAAACTCATAAAAAGAAGCCCCCAGATTATTACTACATGTCTAATTGAAGGCCCTATTAATCCATCCTTTCAACACATCCTTTCAACACTCATTATGGAAATAGGTAGTATTAAATCACAGCTGAGTTTAGGCACTATATTTTACACAGTATTTGCATCTATAAATAATGGTGGTTGTAAAAAATGCCTGTTTGTATTCATCAAAGTAAATTTCCTTGACCCACTAGTTGAGTAACTAGTAACAAGGCTTTTGGTGAGTGAGTTCTTTCAAGGATCAAGAGATGTTGGCTTGATGGGTCCCTCACTGCCACCCCCCCTCCATTATTTTGAAAGCCTATTTGGAAATTGTAGGCTAAATTCATAGTAGCAATGACCTAGTCCAGCATGATCAGAATCTCATCTTGTCTCTCACATCTTCTTGTCTATTCACAACTATTCCTTAAAGAAGAGGGTAAATTTGTCTCACCTTGCATGGATCAGGATAAAAGAGGGTTGTAAATGAACACAAATGTATTTGGAAGATTTTCCCATCAGTTTTAGTACAAAGCTTAATGAGCAGTATTACCTATACTTAGTCCTCACACATATATGATTCTAATGTTGCCTCATAAGTGCTTTATATATTATAGTTTCTGCCCTTCTTCAGATCTTCTTTAGAAAGCATCTGAGTAAGTGCAAGTGCATCTTCAGTATAACTCTAAGTTCATTGCTGAAGTTAATTTTGCCTTCATTAGGCTGTGAGTTTCTCTGGGGAGGAGCTGCTTCTGCTGTTTCCTTTACCACTCTCCTGATAGAAAGACAACTAGATAGGTGCCCATGATTGGGACTCAGAGGGCATTATTGCTTGTGTGCCATCAAAACCTTGAAGTTTATTAATAAGAAGCCAAGAGCTGAGAAATAAGATCAGTTGGAAGTATGAGTTGAGGCCAACTCATGTTTGGCCTTCTCTGCCAGACAGATTTGTACTTTATGATTATTGAGAGCAGAAGATGTGATTGTAGCTGTGCTAGAGGAAGCCCAAGCACTTGGGAGGTAAAGAGTGAATAGTAGAGGTTAGGGAGATGGACCAGGCAGTATGCAACTGCTTACGTTTATGCAAGAAGAATCAAAGGCTGTACATATGCATGACAAATATCATAGTGAAGAAAAATACTTATCATGAACTCTGAAGGAAGAGGTTAGATTAAGAGTTAGGAGAAAATGACTGAGCAAAAAGAGAAAGACAGAACATTCTAGTTTGCTAGAGACAGTAATGGAATTTCAGTTTCTGACATATTTTTTAATAAAAAGTTCATGTCTTTCTCACCAGACTGAATAGTTCCTTCCCCCCACCTCTTCCTTCCCTCCCTTCCCTGCCTGCCTTCTTTTCCTCCCCAGTTCTTTCTTTCTGTCCCTCTCCTTCCTCCTTTTCCTCCTTTCTTTCCTTCCTTCCCTCCTTCCTTCTTTCCCTCTCCTCTTTCTCTTCTTCCTTCTTCAACAGAGGCTGCCAACAAATCCTAAATTTTATTCCCTCCGGTTTCATTTATTTCACATTGTCCCACTCCCTGGTGTCTTAGTTTGATTTTGTTGATTTGAAATTTCCTTCTTGGGGATCCCTGGGTGGCTCAGTGGTTTAGTGCCTGCCTTTGGCCTAGGCTGCGATCCTGGAGTCCCGGGATCGAGTCCCACGTCGGGCTCCTGACATGGAGCCTGCTTCTCTCTCTTCTCCTGTGTCTCTGCCTCTCTCTTTCTCTCTCTCTATGTCTATCATAAATAAATAAATCTTTAAAAAAATGAAATTGCCTTCTTGTGAACTATTCCTTCCACAAAATATTATTGGACCTTGAACTGAACGACACAGAATTGTTGAAGGATTTCTTCCCTAGAGGCTTTTTCTAAGATAAATCTGCAGAATTTTACTGGATTTTTGAAGAATCCTTTCTGTTCCATATTTTCCCTGTACTCCCTCCCCAGAGGTCAGAAAATGCTCTCAGGTTCTTCTATCTAAGATTATGCCTCCTAAATAATGCTTAAGTCTCTATAAATGTGACCTGGAGAGGTATTGCTGGAGAGAAGTGTGTGTTGCCTGCTTCCATTAGCATAGCCTGCCTACTTTTGTCAGGGGTGTGTGTGTGTGTGTGTGTGTGTGTGTGTGTGTGTGTGTGTGTGGTTTGATGAAAGTGAGGTCCTGGTAGCTCAGAGGTGGGAGGGGAGTGAGGTATCATTTATCAAAAATGTTAGCACACTGGGCCAGGGAACAGATTCTGTTGGTGCTAGAGTCAAAACTGAGTTACCAAGGAAAAGTCTTCATAAAGAAAAAGAGTTTGATAAGAATAAAAAATAAGGGGGGAAGGTGGTGTCAAAAGAGCAGGGCTTGAGAAGTTCTGAAACTTTATTTTTTTTTTAAATTTTTATTTATTTGTGATAGTCACACAGAGAGAGAGAGGCAGAGACACAGGCAGAGGGAGAAGCAGGCTCCACGCACCGAGAGCCCGACGTGGGATTCGATCCCGAGTCTCCAGGATCGCGCCCTGGGCCAAAGGCAGGCGCCAAACTGCTGCGCCACCCAGGGATCCCAGTTCTGAAACTTTAATGCAGATATTGAGGGTACTCTTCAGGAGGGACTAGTGTGACTCAGCAAGGTGGCTAAGTTTATTTAAGGGATTGAAATGCGGTGGAATTACCTTTTCTAGTCCAAAATCACCAAAGTTATGAAGCTTAGGAAAAACATCTTTCCAAAATACCTATTTTTTTATTTGCAAAAAAAGGGAGAGACAATATTCCTGGTTTTATACTCAGTGTAACTTGTCAACTTCTATAAATCTTTAATGAACTTAATTCCAAAAAGGAGAGAAGTGATTGAAATGTGTGATTTTCAAAAACAACATGTTCTTGGCAAATTGAAGATATATAGCTTTGTGGTTTAAAGCTCAGTTTCTGGAATCAACTAAACCTCAGTTTGAATCTTTGTTATTTATAAGCTTTATGAACTTGGGCAAGTTACTGAAACTCTGCAAACTTCTATTTTATTATCTGCAAAAAGGGGATAGGAATAATACTTATCTCTTAGGATTTGGGGGATAATTTAATGAAATAATAAATTATGGAATGTGAATAAATGCTCTATAATGTAGTTATTGTTACCAGTATGATTATTTTCAATCTAATTTTTCCTTTTCTCAGATTACTTTGATATCTAATTGCCTCAACTATATCTTTAATATAAAGAATGAAATTGGTTGAAAGATACTTCCAAATAATTTCTTTTCTTTCAATCTAACACTGGGTGCAAATTGTACAAATGAAAACATTTGGAATTAAATACAATAGAGCAAATATATATTTTTTTAAATTTTTATTTATTTATGATAGTCACACAGAGAGAGAGAGAGAGGCAGAGACACAGGCAGAGGGAGAAGCAGGCTCCATGCACCGGGAGCCCGACGTGGGATTCGATCCCAGGTCTCCAGGATCGCGCCCTGGGCCAAAGGCAGACGCCAAACCGCTGCGCCACCCAGGGATCCCGAGCAAATATATTTTTATTCCAAACTCCATATCATGAAGATGGAAATGCTTTTCTTAAATGTATGTATTGAGTCATATGTCTAAAATTTTAGTATACTAGGATCAGCTGTCTAATAAGTTAGCAATGCTTTTTATTATTCACTAGATATAAATGACCTTAGCAGGTTCTGTGTGAGAAACGAGAAAGAGATACAATATTGAGTTTTGGTCACAGGCTCCTATTGCCAAGTTAAGGAGATATAAGATAAATACACAGAAAAATAGAAGAAAATGTGCAAATGAATACTTTCATAGACTAAGTGAAAATAAGAAAATTAGGAAATAAATGCTATATACTTTACATATAGTTGGACATATATGGATAAATTATTTTGCTTTCAGCTTTTTCCCTTAATGTTATCACATAATTTGCCTATATCATTAAAAATTTTTGTTCTTAATCTCTATTGACATTTTTAACAATTCTGTTGCACTATAGTTGACATATCATACAATTTGCCCATTTAAAGTAGACAATTCAGTGGTTTTTAGTATATTCACTGTTGAAAAACCACTACCACAATCAATTTTAGAACACTTTCATCACTCCTAAAAGAAACCTCATAACAATTAACAATCAGTCCATTTCTCCCCTCTCTCCCAAGCCTTACTCAGCTTTCCAGCCCTAGGCAACCATTAATCTACTTTTCTGTTTGTATGGACTTGCCTCTTCTGGACACTTCATATACGTGAATTTTTTTTTAATCAAATTTTCACCTTAATTGCAGATTGTTAAAAACTTTCAAATCAGGGGTGCCTGGTTGTCTCAGTCAGTTAAGCATCTGACTCTTGGTTTCAACTCAGGTCATGAATCATGGGTCATGATGGGTCGTGAGATTGGAACCCTGCTTAGGGCTCTGTGCTTAGTGGGGAATCTACTTCTCTCCTTCTCCCTCTCCCTTTACCCTGCTCACATTGTCTCTGTCTCTTTCTCGTAAGTAAGAAATAAATAAATAAATAAACAAATAAATAAATAAATAAATAAATTTAAAAACCTTTCAATCAATATTGTTTTAAAATATGTGAATGACTGCATTTGTAAGGACTACATTCTAGAAATTATGATCAAACTTGGCAGAAAACAAGCTTAATTTCTATGAAACTGAGTTTTGGGTGGGATTGGCTGTGACTAATGCTTTATTACTCTGGGATTTAAAAAAAAAAAAGATCTTTTTCTTTCTAAAATTTTTCACTCAAGTTTAAAGATGGACCGTGATTACCATTAGAGCTCCTGTTATGATGACAATGCTTTGAAATATTCAGAGGAATGAGACAGCAAGTAATTGTCTTTCGCATCCCATTTCATATAACAATTACAACTTGAATCTGAGCCGAGGGAATTATAACAATTGTAGAGTCAAATAGCAGGAAAACCAAGTTTTATTCCTCACACCTAGACTGTCATTAGTGAACTCCTATGAACAATCTCAAGAGTATGCAGAATGTCATAAATTAATGTAGGCGATCTTTATGCAAAGTGGATAAAGGTGTAGAATTACTATAAAAGGAATATTTATCTAATAATTTGGAAGTCTTGTTTGAGAATGTGTCAGTACATATATAAAGATAAATTGGCCAAGCCTGAAAGTTTCAGTTCAGCTAATTTACCACAGTTTATTAAATTGATCCTAAATAGGTAGAGATCAATTATTTCCAGTTGCTATTCTCTGGTATTTTCTGAACGTCCAGATTTGGCTTTTTTTCTTTTTTAAGATTGATTGATTGATTGATTCATGATAGACATAGGGAGAGAGAGAGAGAGGCAGAGACACAGGCAGAGGGAGAAGCAGGCTCCATGCAGGGAGCCTGACGTGGGACTCAATCCCAGGTCTCCAGGATCACACCCTGGGCCAAAGGCAAGGCGCCAAACCGCTAACCCACCCAGGGATCCCTGACTTTTTTTAAAATCACCCGTTAAAAGGTGTGGAAATGATGAGGATTTGTTAGATATTAATCAGGATATAATCAAAATGCTGAAATCCAATTCTATGTCTGTTGTTAGTTGTAATGGGATTTTGATAAAACACAAAGACTATTATAACTAAAGGATGAATATCGTGTTATTATTCAGAATTCCTGCTGTTGTTAACTTCTATTTTTATATTTAATTTTTGTTAATTAAAGAACAATGTGCTTATTCAGAGAAAAGATAATACCTCACTAAATGGCTTTTTCATATAAACAAAGAGAAATATTATTTGACAACCGTGTGTGACAAACAGCATATATTCATGTGAGAGAGTAATTCAAGAAAATCTTTTGTCTACAGAATATTAAGAGTGTTTATATATGTATATAATATACATATTTTTATATAAATATACATATATAAATTGCTTGTTCTCTGTCCCTCTGGAAATCATTATTCATTTTCTCCAGTGAGGAAGCCTGTTATCTCCATTTCTTCATAAATTATTGAAAAAAATTATACAGGTAACATTTTAGGTGTCAGCTCCATACTAGAATGACAAACAATGTGATCCATGTTGACCTTGGGATGAAAGTTAACTCAACCTTGATGAAATTTGTTGAAGATCAAATTAGGAGATGTAGTCAAAATATGAAAAATGCAAAAGAATCTGATTAAGTTTTGCTTCCTCTAATGAAATGAGATTTTATGTTTAAGAGCTAGAGTGATTTATATTCAATACCTATTTATTTGTTGTACTCAAAGTTGTAAATAAAGTATTTGTTATTGAAAAGATAAGGAATTAATGTAAAATTTAGAGAAATGATATATACAATTAAAATAATTCACAATATATTTAGCTGTCAGATCCTACCTGTCTATAGTTCATAATACTTAAGTATGGTTGGGACACTTTCAGTAATTAAACCAAGAAAGTAGGATAAATCTAGATATATGATTGCTGAACTCAGTGTGTACTGATGTGGAAGAGGTTCAAAACACACTGCTATGTAAAGAAATCACTTTTCAAAAAATTATATATGATTATATGTATTTGTGTATGTATATATTATAATTATGTATATCTATATTACATAGATATATATCTTCCAAAACTAAAACTCTGGGTGTGCATATTTGTGTAAATGTACAGGAAAAGCATAGAAAAATATATGCCAAACTACTAATATTTGTTACTTCAGGGGAGGACAGGATTTAGGGAGAAGGATGAAGGCAAACTTTTTCTTTTAAATTCTATGTCTAGGGATCCCTGGGTGGCGCAGCGGTTTGGCGCCTGCCTTTGGCCCAGGGCGCGATCCTGGAGACCCGGGATCGAATCCCACGTCAGGCTCCTGGTGCATGGAGCCTGCTTCTCCCTCTGCCTGTGTCTCTGCCTCTCTCTCTCTCTGTATGACTATCGTAAATAAATAAAAAAAAAAAATTAAAAAAAAAATAAATTCTATGTCTAATAAAATAAAAATAAAAATAAATTCTATGTCTATATTAGTTGTTTTTTTTATAATGAGGAATCATTTATGTATTTTTTTTTATTTATGATAGTCACACACACACACAGAGAGAGAGAGGCAGAGACATAGGCAGAGGGAGAAGCAGGCTCCATGCACCGGGAGCCCGACGTAGGATTCGATCCCGGGTCTCCAGGATCGCGCCCTGGGCCAAAGGCAGGCGCTAAACCGCTGCGCCACCCAGGGATCCCCCTCATTTATGTATTTTAAGATCAAATAGCAATAAAACCCTTCCAAAAATTAAGACCATTATAAAAAGAGTCTTTGGATATATCACTCAGTAATTTAATTTTGTTAATTGTGATGATTGCTTCAACTGACACGATCACCTTCAAGTTAAGACCCTAAGATGTCTAACCACAAAGCTAAAGGCAATGGAATTACTCTCAACAAAAAGCTTTCTTAATGGTAATGAATAATGAGCATTTGTTTGTTACCAGTTAGGATAGAAAGCTGCAGTTATGAATAAGCACAGCTTTTATACCATGCTAAAGAATTTAACACAGCTTTATAGTCATTAATTGTCATGCAAAGATGGTTATAAATTAATTATTATGAACCAAGTTCTAATTATGGTGCCTTATATAAAATTCTGTGTTCATATAAACAGTTCAGACTATATCTGACTTTGCTAGTGATTTCCTGATGGAAAAGACAATAACTAACTGTAGGATTCTTTCCATGGTCATGATTTTGCCAGTCAATCCATTAGGTCTTTGGAACAAACACCATGATTGACAGTCACGTCAATTAACAGTTTATTCATTTGTTTCTACAATGCTCTTGGCATTGTTCTAAGCACTAGAGAGAAAGAAAAACATTAAACATCCCTGTCCTCATGGAACTTATTCTCTAGTTGTGGAAGAGACGGAGATAGATATTACACAAGATAAGTAAAATATAAAGTTTATTAGATTGTGATGAATGTTATGGAAAAATAAAAAATTGGCCAGAGAATGCTGAGTGAGAGAGATACTTATTTTTAAATAAAGTGATAAGGTAAGGAAAAACCTGAAGGAGGCGAGGGAGCAAGCTAGGAGAATAATTGGGAAACAAGGAGCAAGTCCTCAATGCCCAAGTGTGCCTGTGGACTTGAGAAACAGCAAGGAGTTGTGTGTGTGTGTGTGTGTGTGTGTGTGTGTGTGTGTTTTCACTTTGTCTTTATTTGAGAACAAACACATTATAAAAAGTCACCCTGCACAACTGAAGCAAGCTCACGGAAGCACGGCTGTGGACACACCCACTCTGGTCAGGGGTGGCTGCTGCAGAGCGGAACCCGGGGCCCCAACAAACGAGGGCAGCGAGAGGGGCCACATCCAGACTTTAAACGGTAACAACACGTGGTTCGGCGATACTCAGGTAAAAGCTTCTGAGCTCCTGTCTCCACAGCACCTGCGGCCTCACTGAGCGGGGACGGCGACCCTGGGCGCTGATGCTGGGGGGGCCCGCGGGACGGACACCTGGGGGGCTGCCTTCTGGCTCCTCTCTGCAGACAGGCGCTCCAGGCGCTCCGTGTAGAAGCCATTGAAGTCCAGACTGGAGATGACGCTGGCCATGCTGCGCTCACAGTCGCTGGTGCTGTAGAG